CAATTAACCAAGTCTGCCGATGTTTGTGGTGAAAGGTATTTGTACTTTGCTTTTACCAAACTGATTCTTCATTGACACTCTTCACCTGGAAACCTCTGGCTGCAGAATGAGGCCCTGGATTTTTTTTCTCTTTAGTTGTACTTATTAATCGGAGCACAATATATAAAAGCAAAAAAGGAAAAAGAGATGAAAAATTGATAGGTTTTGTCATACCTGTACAGTAGTCATTTATCAAAATTTGTCTCATTAATGGTTTGACAAGTTTTAATGGTTTCTTTTTCTGCGGGTTTTTTTTTTTTTTTTCCCCTTAATGTACTACCTCTGTATTTATGATAAAGTAAAATATGCTGTTCTTCCTAAAAGAAAAATTTCCATACCAACTGTGTTTCAGTCTCATGTTCACTACATACAGATCTTTAAAGCCGCTCTGACAGGTACGTCTAACGCAGTGCTATGTAAAAGGCTGTCATTTTTAAACAGTGTGTTTCTGAGGATTGACAAAGCAGGGTGAGATGGAGAGGGATCATCAGCCTCATCTATTGCAACGACTGTGTGCATCTGGTTCTTGATATACTCGGATATATTCGGTCTGTACCCAAAATTGCAAAGACAAACCAAAAGACCAGCGCACCTCTGTTCGGCTATGTAACCTTCTGCCTCTTCACCAGTCTTTAGATTGCTATCTTGAGCTTTTTTTTTTTTAACAGTTAATTAGTGTTTGGAGTCATATACTTAAATGTGATTTGAATGAAAGTAAGGCAGTTAGGACAAATAAATTGCACGTGCAGTATGTGAATTTTGTGGGTCACGTGGTTCTTTTTAGGTCTCATGTTCAACATTTTGATTAAGATTTGGGATTGAAATTTTCAGATGAATATTTGAATGTTGTGTACTTGTGTAACCATTTTAAGGCTGTACTAATTACTCTTTCATTCTCCTTTCTATGTCAAGAGCAATTAAACATAATACTGTTTGAGCTGTCACAAAGATTACACAATGCTCTGTCAAAAGTGGATGTATCGTTTTGCACTCCATTGAAAGATGGCCAAAGTGAGAGCAAAGAACGCTGCGTTCCTCTCTGCAACCACATGCATCCTGCTAAGCTTGTTATGGTTAAAAAAGAAGGTCAAAACAAGGTGCTGCTTATTCCTTGTTTGTTTACAGTTTGGGGTGCTTGTTTGGTGTGTAGACCATACTCTGTGAACAGTTACAGGGCAGTCAGGTACGATTTGCAATCGCAGGTTAAAGGGATGTATTGCAGGGATCACTTTTAAGATCAGTTGTAGTATCCACTAGTGTCCACAGTTCTTGATGTAATAGTTCTCTCCATACAGAAACAGCTTTTTGTATGTAGAGAGAAAGACCTGGATTTATAATTTTCTAGGTTATATGGGATTTCTGTAAGTTACAATTACACACACTGGCAGCAGAAGCTGAGAGTTCTGGGAACACACTTGTGGTTTGCAGCCAAACACAGGTTTTTTGTTATTTCTGTAGCAGTGGGTACTGGTCCATTGGTTTACCTTTATTTTGCTTGATTGTTCTAATCTGCTAATGATCTTTTGGGTTTTTTTCCCCTTCCCTTCCTAGGGTCGTTTGTTCTATACCTGTGATGCCCCAAAAGCTGAGCAGTGTTCGTTTTTCAAGTGGATAGAAGATGTGAACCCCACCCAGACAAAATCCAGACCTAGCGTAGTGCTCCGCGATATGGAGAGTATTGGGACGTACCTCAGAAGTCAAAAGATTCCTCTCTATGAGGGATGCCAGCTATTGGTGAGGTATTCTGAAACGCTGTGTGCTTTTCTCAAGTTCTGTGTGAATGGCAGGATTTCTGAGGTGTCCAGTAGCTCTGGATTTCAGTGGCATTTGACAGGCACACTCAGTGACACCGTCTAAAGAGGCTGCAGTTCTCTGTTGAAATGTAACAGCCAAATTAGCGAAGGGGTAACCTTCGCAGCGATGGCATCTCAGATCAGCGCTCTTTTCAGCAAAAATTAAAACTACTTACCAGCAATGCGATCAGTTGTTTAATGGAATCCCTTATGACTGTTGCATTTGAGCTACAGTTCTTTTAATCTTTCTTAAGAGAATCTGGTTTATTCTCTTAGTGATTCTGATTTGGTTGGAACTAGATGATCTTTAAAGTCCCTTCCAACCCAAACCATTCTGTGATTTTAATGTTAGAAGTTGTATCGAGGGCTATTTCGTGATGTTTAACTGTAGGGGAAACAAACTACAGCTGAATATGGGACAAGTATTTTGCAGTCAAGATAAATGCATTTAAAACTTGGTAATTTAGGATAATGAACAATCACCAAATGTGCACTGTAGAACTTGGTCCAGTCTTTGGAGCTTTCTTGGTTTTGGTGGTCAATCCAAAATGTGACTATTTGTTTACACACTTTTTCTTCAAATTACAATTTTACAGGAAAGCCTTTGAAATTCAAACACAGCCGTGCAGTAAGTTCAAGAAGTTTATGAATACATCTGCCAGATTTGATGGTGATTCCAAAACCAAATTATACCTCAGACTAAGCAGAAAGGAGCATTATTCTCTCTATAGCAAAGGTAAGCAAATCCTAAGCATCGGAAGAATTGTCCATGTCATGTTGTGCCTTCTTTAAAGTTTTAATTTGTAATGCAAAAAGAAAACCTGAGTCCTATTTTTAAACTCCTGATAACCCATCTAATTCAACTCTCATTCTATTAGGGCAACAAAGTATCTCATTAATTCATCTTCTCTTGTAAATGTTCAACTCCCTTGGAAAAATATAAGTTCTGTGTCCTTGGGTATGGAGTGTATTAAATCTGTGAATCATCTCAGGAAAGCCCAGTATTCAAATACATGGTATTTAAGGAAAACTTGATGTTAGAATTGGTATTTCGGTAGTTGTTGTGTTTGTCTTCTAAGTCACAAAAATGTCACAAAGTTGGAGGACATTCAGTGATTTCATCCACACAGTCTTAATAGTTTGTTTCGCTTCAGTAATTTTTTTAATTGCTGCCCGTATCTTCAGGGTTTGTTCACTTTACTGTTGAAAATGATATAAAGGAAACTAGGCAGAAACAAACATGTCTGTGTGCACTTCATGTCCAGAGTCTGAAATGTTGTGACACATCAGGGGTTTGAAACTTTAAATCCTGAAGCTCCACACAGGGAAAACTTTTACTTGTGATCAAAAAATTATTAGACATTTTAGTTCCAGGCAAATAGAATGCACCATTGTTGGGCCCAGCTTAGAAATCTCCCTTGCTGTGCTCTGCAGTATATGGTAGAGGGATGATGTAGTGAGCTTTGCTCTCGTCAGCTGTGCCAAATAAAACAGAACACTTGCAGGCTCCAGGATGTGTCAGTTTTGAAAGGGGAGGGGAAATACGTGTTATAAATGCTGAGCTATTTTGTCCCGCTTCATTTCTTTAAAAGACAGCAGTAGAAGTAGCTGATGAAGACTGTGTTGTTTTTGACAGATGACATTTGGGTTGTTTCGAAGACTCTCACCTTCAATCCCCTTGAAACTTTCATTGCCACTAGTGCTTTCTATGGACCATCCTCCAACAATGAAGTAGAATTACTACCATTGAAAGGCTACTGCCCCTCAAACTGGCGATCCAATGGTAAGTTGTACACCAAATAATTCAGAATGGTGGGAAGCAACTGTTGAGGGGATTCTGGCCAGCAGTGAAGGATGAGACTAGTACTTCTCAAATCTAATACGTGATTTTATTCAAGGTATTTTTTTTCCTTCGTATCTTTGAATATGTAATTTAAGTACATTTGTATTACGTTTGGAAGACTAAAAAAAATATGGGGAAAAAAAAAGCTACACAAGTTCTCTGTGGGCACAGATGCTGTTAAAATCACAAGCTTCAAATGCAACTGGAGGTTTGGTTTCGCTTGTTCCCTGAGTGTGAACTGCAGGACTGGATGTCTTGAGCAGTCAGAGTCTGGAAGTGTTAACACGTAGCTTTTTCAGTCTCAATGCTGTTGAATCACAGCAGGGTTGGTTTTTTCCTTAGGAAATTTTGTGTTCTAACTTTCTTTGTGATCGTAAATACAGATTATTTCATAATTCTGAAAGCATTAGAAAACAAAAAATGTAAGTTCACAGGATCACGGAGCGGTTTGGGTTGGAAGGGACCTTAAAGACCATCTAGTTCCAACCCCCCTGCCATGGGCAGGGACACCTTCCACTAGACCAGGTTGCTCAAAGCCTCATCCAGCCTGGCCTTGGACACTTCCAGGGATGGGGCATCCACAGCTTCTCTGGGCAACCTGTTCCAGTGCCTCACCACCCTTTCTGGGAAGAACTTCTTCCTGATATCTAATCTAAACCTCCCCACTTTCAAGTAAGTTGTATGAAAATAAAGCTTTAAGTAATGTTTAGTTGTTGGCAGTAGTAAACAACAGCTAAATAGAGGTATGGGGGTTAGTAAACTTATTAGAAACCTGTTACTTAGGCAGTCCCTGAGGCCCAGAACCTTCAGAAACTGGCAGTGAATTCAGAAAAAGGTAACTGAATACTTGTTCTGTTCTTAGACTCTCCCCTAAGCATCTACATTTGTACACTTCAGAAACTGTTCAGGTGGAACTGCAGTGTGGCCCATTGGAGGTGTTCTTATGTTCCTGTCTTGTCTTTTTTGAGGAAATACCTGCTTAGCTCTTGTGATACAGACAGGACAAGGGGTAACAGGTTTAAATTGAAAGTGGGGAGGTTTAGATCAGTTATCAGGGAGAAATTCTTCCCGGAGAGGGTGGTGAGGCACTGGCACAGGTTGCCCAGAGAAGCTGTGGATGCCCCATCCCTGGACGTGTTCAAGGCCAGGCTGGATGAGGCTTTGAGCAACCTGGTGTAGTGGAAGGTGTCCCTGCCCATGGCAGGAGGGTTGGAACTGGATGGTCTTTAAGGTCCCTTCCAACCCAAACCATTCAGTGATTCTGTGATTCTAAATTCATCTCCTAAATTCCAAAGCCTTCTAAATATCTCAGGTGTTTTTAAAATGAGTGAGGATTTTTACCTAAGCTTCCTTCCCAGAAGGGGATGTTGGAATCACAAATGCTTCAAAATAACACACCTTGAAAAGAAGGGTTAGTAGGTCTCTTCTCATTTATAGTATTCAGTCAGACATGGTAATTGGGTTAACTTGGTTTCTGTTACAGGAGGCTAATTACTCTTGGTGTTTTGCAGTTCATCTCTCTAGCTGATTTTGCACTGTGGTCAGTTTCATTTTTTCCTAATTTTTCTGTGGCCTTTTCAGAGTTTGTGCATGCCTTGCTGGTTTGTAATGCGAGTGGTGAGCTCACATCTTTAAGAAACCTGGAGGAGCACTTCAATCCATCTACATTACCACTAATACCACATCTACTAAAGATGTAAGTCATGTTTCGGTGTTCCATGAACATACAGTATGTCAGTGGGTACAGGGGGAGGGGGAAAAAAAACCAACAACAAAAATACCATTGAGTTTGCCCTGTTCAAACGTGGATGAGAAAAACTCAAATTTGAAAAACAGTGCAAGGAATGAACTGTTCACAATGCAGTTTTCATTTATGTGGAAGGAAAAATATGTCAGTTGCTTAAGTCTAGCTTGACTGTAAGGTTTTTTTCTTAAAACTTAACCTGCAGCCCACATTTTACAACCTAGGGATTAACAGTGAGCGTTAGCCTGACCGTTAGCCCAATGGTACAGTCACTGACCTGTATGAAGTTCATGTGTATGCTTCACAGGCTTCAGTGGGACTGTTTTTCCTTCCCGGTTTTTAGAGTCACTTGAGACAAAACCTAAAAATAAAATATTTTCTTGGAGAATTGGGAAAATATGGGAATATTTCCAAGACTGCTTATGAGTCACTGTGTGAAACAAGTAATTAAATGAGTCCCGGCTACCTCTGACTACATTCTTCTACCACTCCTCATTCTGTTAGTCTCACGGCCTTGGAGTAAGTCGTATCGAAAGCTTGATCGTACAGAAAGAACGGCAAAATCCAAAACCCAGTCTCATAAGATCCAGCTTTCATCCAGGGGAGTAATAAGGTGGAGGAGTATACAGCCCAGGTGTATGTCCAAGTGCAGCAACTTTTCATGATGTCAGCTGTTAATCATGCAGCCTCAGCATTTCAGTGTCAGTCAGTAGGAATGTCAGACCCATGAGACAGACATTATACACATGCACTGTTACACCTCAACTGCTGACCAACTGCGTTCCTCTTAGGAATTTCGATTCTCAAAACGCTACTCGTAGAGTCAAAGGAAGAAAGTTTGTTCCACCTGCTGTCAGCCTGAAGCACACTAGGATGTGCGGGCCTGCCAGCACTGAAGTGGCAATGGGACTGGCGAACAAGATGATCCAAACCTTCTCGTTGAACCCGGATCAAGCTGTAGCGCTGCTTCAGATAGCTGAGATGATGACCTCGTCTGGAAATACCGAACCAGCGGAAGAACATCAGGGCTTCCCTATCAGAATCATACACGGTATATAGCAAAGAATTGTGAAATTCGCTGCGGTTGTATCTTCGCAAAAATGCTAATTAAGCTGTAATGCTATTGGTAGTGAAATATCCCGGAATTATCTCAGTAACGAAACAGTAGATTTGCTTCATTAATCAGACATTTACAATTCCAGGCAGACTTAAAAGGAGATTCTTATGTTTAAGTAAGTGTTGACTTATTTTAAATTTAGCACAAAAGATGAGCTTGAATAAGCATCCTCTGTGTATGGAATATCCTTTTAAACCCTTTGGTAACGGTGCTGTCCCCACCTACTTCATGCATTTCCCAGATACTTGTATCTCGGATGAGGCCCCTCTGACCTTGATGTCACAACATCCATTCTGTCAGCACAGAGCCTTGGAGCCTTGAGTTTGCGTTCTGCCTTCTGCAGGATTTTACATCAATGTAGAGTTTCCTAGTGAGATCTATACACAAAGTCAGTTATTTAGTGTCTTCTGCTTATTTCTTTACATATTAAAACCCACTTTTGTCATGCATCAGCTTTGCTAAATCTTTTTTTTTTCTATTGCACATTATTCCTTGCTGTTTTATACTTTCTTCTATCTTTGTTTTATCTCTTTTCAACATGTACCAAAAGGCCAGTAACATCTTAGTTTAAAGATGTTATTTTTTTTTTTAAATCAGTATAGAGAAGCAGTTACCATAAACATAAATTTTCAGATCCTGTCAAAGCAAATACCTTGACAATAATGACACTCTTACTACAGATACCACTAGGCTTAAATTGCCTGAGCTTTTGTTAGGCTGTCAGATGTATTAACCTATTTAAAATTATTAGTCATTGCAAAATAATCACCTCTCAAATTTCTTATTCTGAACCTGAGGACATGGTATGATGCATATGCATGAAGCCACTTGTATTTGTATTATTTAATGTATTGATGAGACTCCTTAGGAAGTAATGCATGTATTCAACCACAAAATGGAAGAAAAATTCCTTACCTTCCCCTCTTCCCTAGCTTTTTGAAAACTTATTGCAGGCAGTAAATGCAAAGTGTGAGACAAATGGTTGCCCCTCCATACTCAGAAGTGTGGCAGCAAGTACATGCAATGTTTTTACAGGAATCACAGCATAATGTTTCATAACATAGACTTACTTTGTAACAATTGATTAAAACTGTGCTTTCTCAAAAATTTTCACTTGTAACTTTGGCATTTTCTTCCAAAACACCAGGTGTTTTTGGAGCTGGAAAGAGCTACCTGCTGTCTGTTGTGATCTTGTTCCTAGTACAGCTCTTTGAAAGCAGCAAAGCTACGGAGGGTCCAAGGCCAGCTCCATGGAAACTTCTCATTGCTTCTTCCACTAACGTTGCCGTTGACAGGATCCTGCTGGGGTAGGTTACAAAGATTTTTACAGGCTATTGTTCCAAAACCAATTATGAACTTACCTGACAAACATAATTATGTTTATATTTCCAGTATAACACTTCAAAAAGATTGCTTTCTTTCCCTGCATGGGGGCCTTAATTTTACCCTTGCTCCTTTGCACAATGTGCCTATGCTACAAGAGTCTGTAAGGCTAACTGTGCAAATTTAAACTGGACTAACATTGGGCCCTACTCTCAGGAAGCTTTGGGAAGTAGCAGTAGGAGCAGGGGAAGGAGGGATGAAGAGAGCAGGAGAGGCAGGGTCAGGCTTGGGAAGCAAGCTTCAGCAAATACCAAGAGAAGACAAAAAAAAAATGTTGGTTGCTAATGTGAAATAAAACTCATGGTTTGGAAGAATAAAGGGAGGAAGGAAATGTCCAAAGGGAGGAAGGAAAAGTCTATGAGAGGAGAATCATAAAGGTATTAAGCATTTCACCATGACGTAACACACTTTGATTTGTGGCCTGAGTTACTTCAACTGGTTAATCATAAAACTTTGGGTTCTTCAGTCTTGTGAGGTTTGCCTTTCTAAAATCACTTCTAATTTTTCAAAGTTTCTTTTTACATTTCTGTAATATGTATCATCTCTTTTTCTTTGAAGTCTACTTGATCTTGGATTTGAGGATTTTATCAGAGTGGGAAGTATTAGGAAAATCACCAAAGCAATTCTTCCCTATAGGTAAGAATCTTAATGTTTGAGGAATGGGAAGTGATTCTAAGGTTCGTTATACATGCTGTAAAATTACTGTTCTGAAGTAATTCAAAACTGATTGTAATATGCCTATATCAGTGTTCCACCCGGCCCCACACGGTGGAAAATTTTACCTTGATTTGGGAGTGGCAGTTATTGCTGAATGGAACCATAGAATCACAGAATGG